GACAGTGAGACACGAACGGCTGTCTGGGATAGCACACGTTGCACAATTGAAAGTGTTCTCACGGACAATTCTCGTATATTCTCGTATCCAGTTGTTAAAAGTACTGGTGTGCTGTCTTTTAAAGGATTGAAAATGTACAATTATTGCATATTTGGTGGCAGTTGTAACGCCTACTGGAGATTGTAAAGAGTTTTACCTTGCAGTCATGTCTTTCTGGTCGAACCTCTACTGGAGATTGTAAAGCGTTTTCCCTTGCAGTCAGGTCGTTCAGGTCTAACGACTACTGGAGATTGTAAAGCGTTTTCCCTTGCAGTCAGGTCTTTCAGGTCTAACGACTACTGGAGATTGTAAAGCGTTTTCCCTTGCAGTCAGGTCTTTCAGGTCTAACGACTACTGGAGATTGTAAAGCGTTTTCCCTTGCAGTCAGGTCTTTCAGGTCTAACGAGTACTGGAGATTGTAAAGGTCTTGCAGTCAGGTCTTTCAGGTCTAACGAGTACTGGAGATTGTAAAGCGTTTTCCCTTGCAGTCAGGTCTTTCAGGTCTAACGACGAGTACTGGAGAGTACTGGAGATTGTAAAGCTTTTTCCCTTGCAGTCCAGTCTAACGAGTACTGGAACGAGTACGTTCTAACGAGTACTGGAGATTGTAAAGCGTTTTCCCTTGCAGTCCGGTCTAACGAGTACTGGAGATTGTAAAGCCTTTTCCCTTGCAGTCCGGTCTATCGAGTACTGGAGATTGTAAAGCGTTTTCCCTCGCAGTCAGGTCTTTCTGGTCTAACAACAACACTTGTCTGTTCCCATGCCAGATCAGCACTCTACGGATCACGTGATCAACATCAGGCCTACCGCGATTACTTCAAGGAACATTTCCTGGTATCTGGTATAACCTCAGTGTAGCGGGGGAGTCCATTCTACAGCGCCGACACACAAAGATACTGAGGTGGGGGGGGGGGTGTCCATGCAACAGCGCCGACACACAAAGATACTTTTGTGGGAGGGGAGGGGGAGTCCATGCAACAGCGCCGACACACAAAGATACTGAGGGAGAGGGGAATAGGGTGAGCTGGGTGTGCTGGGGTTAAAAATAAGCTTAGATTTCCAGTCTCCACATCCTGCGTTTGCCGTTATATTTTATACACAAAGGCGGAAATGGGGATTGGGGGGGGGGGGGGTTCGCCTTGAGGGGCCTAACATAAGTATAAGCACAGAATAATAATGGGCTGAGTGGTAAATAGTATATTTGAAATATTGTGAAATGTGCAAACAAATATTTGTCCAGATAATTTATAGATTTGGATGTTGGGAGCTGCCTAGTCTTCCAATAGAATTAGGAACCGGACCGGGGGGGGGGGAGCTAAAGGGGGCTGATCCACGAGTTCCAGCGCCCATGAGTCCATATCAAATAATAAATGGATAAGGATTGGAACCCCTGACCACTGGAGGTAAGCAAGCATGCTAGCTGGTGGCCAGTTGTACTTTCCATTTTTGTAAAATGTTTAAAGTGTTCAAGTATATCTGCAAAAAGTGCACAGCATGGAAAGTTAGAAAAGTGCACCATTTGGGAAGTTAGATAAGTGCATTATATGGGAAGTTAGACAAGTGCACCACATAGGAAAGTTAGAAAAGTGACAGTGCACAATCGAAGTTAGACAAAGTTAGGACACCAGGAATAGAAAAGTGAGTTAGACAAGCACCACATAGGTAAGTGAGAAAGTGAACACACATGTAGGAAGTTAGACAAGTGCACCACATAGGAAGTTAGACAAGTGCACCGCATAGGAAGTTAGACAAGTGCACCACATAGGAAGTGAGACAAGTGCACCACACAGGAAGTTAGTAAAGTGCACCACATAAGAAGTTAGACAAGTGCACCACATAGAAAGTTAGACAAGAGAATTACAGGGAAAGTTAGACAAGAACACCACATAGAAAGTTAGACAACAGCATTGCATAGGAGGTTAGATAAGAGCATTACAGAGGAAATTAGACAAGAACACCACATCGGAAGTTAAACAAATGCATCATGCAGTAAGTCACAAAACATATTTAGTTTCTCTCTCCCCCCCCCTTCCCCCCCCCCCCCCCCCACCCAATCGCACCCACCTGTGCCACAAACAAAAGAGATAGTAAGACTAAATGACTTCACAGACATGTTTGATACCAGAAAAGTGCTAAGTACCCGCAGACATGTTTTCTGGTTTAAGTCCGGAGAATCGACTTCATTGCACCGGGTTTTATCCCGGTCTCTCTCCACAGAACAGCTAGCTGCCTGCCGAGAGCAAAGCACGAACTCAGTAGCCTCGGCGACGATCCCCAGGGACCTCCGTAAAAATTGCACTCATGAACTGAAAGGTGAAGTTGTAGAGCGAACCCACGACGTTCAGAGCACAAGGCAAACGGCTCAACCACCTCACCACGAAAACCCGTTGTCTGGTACGATCAGTAATTTTAGAGAAAACAGATTTGTATGTAACTAGTGAAACATGACACACAACTAGGTTGGATCGTGCAATGAGAATGAACTAGATAAGAACACGTCCACAGAAAACATATCGGAAAACAGAGGCGACCGGTAGGCGTGAAGCATTTGAGGCCCTATTGTTCCCTTGGGTGATCAAAGAAAGAAGAAATAAAACGAAGGTAAAGAAAAATTTTTTACTTTAAGCACTTAAACAAGGCTTATACCAGCTGACACCCCCACCCAAGAGAAGATGCAAACTATTGCCTACTTCCCCAGCCCCCCCCCCCCCCCCCCCCCCCACAGCCACAGGTTTTCTGTCTTTAGTCGCCACTGATTGGAAAGTAACAGACAAACGATTGACCAGTTGTGTCCAGACGTGTGGATTCTCATCTGTCTAGTCAAAACTGCCTGATTAAATCAAGGTCAGAGTCCACGTGAACTTTTAAGTGCTTTGTGAAGGAAATCTGATTATAAATGGGACAGTCTCGAGGGTTTCAGTGAGATCCTTTCTCAACAGACAGCAATTTGATTCTACAAGTGGTAAGAGATAACTTGTGGGACGTTATGTTTGTTACTGAAAGATACCCGGCTCCACAGGGAAAGGGAAGAATGGTAACTCTGGCTGTCAATACATGTCTAAAAACTCTGGTTTGAGGAGTTGACTAATAGTGGGTGTCGAAATCTACAGACAAGTGAAGCTATACAATCTGGACCTGCCAAGAGAAGTCAATAACTGCCTTCAATTCCGGTATTAATACTTTCAGAGTGACGGGCGTGAAAAAAGAGGGGGGGGGGGGGGGGTGAGCCTGAGAATGTATGGTCGTATGGCTAGTTTCTGCCGCCATGACCTGTGCAGATTATGATCTTTCATTTGCCCCGGCTGACATTATCTCCACCATCACAGAGGATCCAACCTTGGTCTCCTGCATGAGCAGGTGATGAGCAGAAAGTCGCCGAGACTGACCTTCCTTCTCGCAGCAATGGGAAATTCATGAACACCGGGGACAGGTATCACAGCTAATGGCCGGTGCCTCTTACACATGTTCTGACAAAGAAGGGACCGGTTTAACCTTGTCTAAGTTAATAATAATAGTAATAATCTGAAGGGCAAGTAAATATAAAAATGTGGTAAAGATAATATGAAATATATCAAGATAACATTGAAAAACAGAAAAAGGGGGGGGGGTGTTGGGGTGTGTGGTGGGGGGGGGGGGGGGGTGGGGGTGGGGGGGGGGGGGGGGGGGGGGGGGTTTTCTGGAAATGTTGTTAAGGAAGCCCCAGAGCCCGTAATCAATGATAGGGGTACTGATGCCTGGGGAAAGGGGTGGGGTAATATATGTGTGTGTGTGTGGGAGGCGGGGTGTATGTACCCAAGCTGTAGCGTCTGACGGAACTGATATGGAGAACAGAAGAAGCTGCAGGAGTGTCACGTGTGGGCATCATGGAATTCGTTGACTGAGAGGCTCTGATCCACTGATAGATAAACAACAGAAACATGGACGGTGACGGTCTTCAGACAGTCGATTCAGTCAACAGTGTAATGATAAATGGGAACACCCTGCCCCACATTCATTAAGAAGCAGAAGATCAAATTGTTCTGTCATCTTGTAAGAATAGAATCACAGCAACTACCATACATGGCGCCACGCCGAGAATGATCTGGCGGAAAGTCAGGAGGTCGTCAAAAGAAAATATGGACTGATGTCATTAACGACATTCCTTATCAATACGGAATGATACGATGCAGTGCTACTCATCGAGCAAGTGGATCATAATTTGTTCTTCCCCATTCTGCTCACACAAGGAAGTACATTGGCACAGTGGATAGGTTTGTTTGCGGGTGGCTCGAAGATCGTGGGTTTGAATCAGCATGTCTTCCCCGTGTCGGTTTCAGGGATCTATTATAAGAAAAACAAGAATAAACCCACTGCCAACCCACAAGTATGTCCTTAGTGTCGACTTATAGGGAGCTTCCTTCCAAGTCGGAGTGCATCTGCCTGAAAAGCAAGGAACCAGCAGTCTGCACACACATTAGTCAGATCTGTCAAACGGATGCACACGCAACACTCAGGTTCTTGAACAAGACTGCAGTCCAGAAGTGGACGAACAATCAGGACTGTCCACCAGAGTTTACAGCCGGTGAATTCGAACAAGAAGAAGAATCAGCATGGAGTCATATATTTTTACAATGACCTTGGCTCCCAGGTCGACGCAACTTAAATGGGTACCAGGGGAAACACCACACAGCAAAGGCGACCGGCGTTATTATGACCCCATCACACCTTGACTGCCAGGGGAAACACCACACAGCAAAGGCGACCGGCGTGATTATGACCTCATCACCCATTGACTGCCGGGGGCCTATAGAATGATGGATCTAGCACCATCTGCCAGATTGACCAGGGGACTGAAGAGAGCCTTCAACTCATTCATGTGGGTACGCATGCGCAGTTCGATAATTTACAAATCTAACCAATCCGTTGACACTTTCGTTAATTTATTCACATGTAAAAATACAATTATATCCTTCTTAGTTCCGATGTTGAAGTCAATCATCTTCGCTGTTGTGGGCATCTGCCTGACCTTAGGGCAGCAACATCGGGTCAACATCCAGTATAATGAGCCACGACTGACTCTGAGTTTAAACAGTAAGTCTGATCTTCTGTTGCATCTGTGACTAACTTAAGCTTAAACAGGAAAGATCCTCTATTACATCTGTATCTAACGTGAGGCTAAACAGTAAAGATCCTCTATTACATCTGTATCTAACGTGAGGCTAAACAGTAAAGATCCTTTATTACATCTGTAACTAACGTGAGGCTAAACAGTAAAGATCCTCTATTACATCTGTAACTAACGTGAGGTTAAACAGTAAAGATCCTCTATTACATCTGTAACTAACGTGAGGCTAAACAGTAAAGATCCTCTATTACTAAACTTGAGGTAAACAAAGATCCTCTATTACATCTGTATCTAACGTGAGGCTAAACAGTAAAGATCCTCTATTACATCTGTATCTAACTTGAGGTTAAACAGTAAAGATCCTCTATTACATCTGTAACTAACGTGAGGCTAAACAGTAAAGATCCTCTATTACATCTATATATAAAGTGAGGCTAAACAGTAAAGATCCTCTATTACATCTGTAACTAACTTGAGGTTAAACAGTAAAGATCCTCTATTACATCTGTAACTAACTTGAGGTTAAACAGTAAAGATCCTCTATTACATCTGTATCTAACGTGAGGCTAAACAGTAAAGATCCTCTATTACATCTGTATCTAACGTGAGTTTAAACAGTAAAGATCCTCAATTACATCTAAACTGTAGACTATTAATCTGAATCTAAACGTGAGGCTAAACAGTAAAGATCCTCTATTACAGCTGTATCTAACTTGAGGTTAAACAGTAAAGATCCTCTATTACATCTGTATCTAACGTGAGGCTAAACAGTAAAGATCCTCTATTACATCTGTATCTAACGTGAGGCTAAACAGTAAAGATTCTCTATTACATCTGCATCTAAGTAAGCTTAAACAGTAAGTCGGATTTTCTGTTGCATCTGTATCTAACGTCAGGTTAAACAGTAAAGGTCCTCTATTGCATCTGTATCTAACGTCAGGTTAAACAGTAAAGGTCCTCTATTGCATCTGTAACTAACGTGAGATTAAACAGTATAGACCCTATACTACATCTGTATCTACCGTCAGGTTAAACAGTAAAGCTCCTCTACTACATCTGTATCTAACGTGAGGTTAAACTGTAAAGATTCTCTATTACATCTGCATCTAAGTAGGCTTAAACAGCAAGTCGGATTTTCTGTTACATCTGTATCTAACGTCAGGTTAAACAGTAAAGCTCATCTACTACATCTGTATCTAACGTGAGGTTAAACAGTATAGACCCTATACTAAATCTGTATCTAACGTCAGGTTAAACAGTAAAGCTCCTCTACTACATCTGTATCTAACGTCAGGTAAGTTGCTTGTCCCATTAAAATGTGCATGTAAAACATGTTTGTCGAAGACGCTTGCTTATGAAACTATCCTATATTTATAGAAAAGATGTTTATCAGTATAAAGTGTGCTTTTCACAATAACGTCTGCTGCTTATCAAAACAACATCTGCTTTGTCACAATCGGCAACTGACTTAGGCGTTGCGGACGCGTTTTGTAGTATTGGGGTACAAGGTTCGATCCCAGCTGCAAGGGATTGGGCAGTAGACCGCTTTACGTTGGTTTCCACAGTCGTCTCGAGAGCCTGATTCCAGGCAGCAGCAAACTACGGAACGTAAATTTGCCTAGAAAAACCACAACTGTCAAACAATGTCTGCCTTGGTTTTTGTAACTTTCTGTACAGGAAAACAGCTAACTTGTTTCGTAACAGTGTATGTAAGTGTGTGTGTGTGTGCATGCGTGTGTGTTTGTATGTTTGTGTGTGGTGAAGATAACAACTGCTTAGCAAAATAACATTTGTTTATAAAACACCGACGAACTTGTAACAATACGCTTCTGTTCTCACCCCCCCCCCCCCCTTTTTCCCCCTCCACACTTCCCCTCTCCCAGTAAATGACCCAGATGTGACACGGGTTATTTTTCACTACGGTGTCAGGGTGGCCTCTCACGTGACACAAGGAAACCAAACAGGTAAGAATTGTAATATTTATATTCTGTTGCACCTGTTTTTTGGGAGGGATATTTCAGTAAATTCACTAACTCATCAAATTTCTCTTCTTCCCTTTAACTTAGTGTACTAGGGTGGAGAAACCCTAAGTACTAAGATAAAAAATAAAGAAATAGAAAATAGTTCGTTAGGTGGGGACTAGAAACAAAAATATTCTAGTCCAGGCAAGAGATCTTCGGTGTAAAGTCTAATAAGTCAGGTAACAAATAAACTAAATTTAAAACATAAAACTAAACTAGGAAACTACCTACTAGAAGTCCTAAGCTGAAGAAAACAACTGTAACTATGAATACAACGTTGCACATAATTTTTATTTAACTTCACATCAGCATGGCCAAAAGTAACGACATAAACGACCACGTGCTGGAACAAAACCTCAAACATACAGCAATCTACCATCTAAATATTTCTTGTCTAGAATACAAGTGAAAATCTATTTTAACCAACTAACCACTGAACGTACCCTCGACTGCCATTAGTCCGACCACGAACGTTACCTGTGGTCGCCATACCCATAGACCGGCCCATTGTGCAAAGCATCAGTCTGTTAGGTTCGGCTTCCACAGGTTGGTCTGGAAGTCAAAACAGGCTTGAAACTGTCAGTCGGCCGTTTAAATACCCCGTGGGCTGATTTTTTTCCATCTTCCGGTCAAATTTATTAGTTAGTTCCGGTGGTCTTTTAACCATTTTAAAACCAGAATAAATCTTAAGATCTTTAATCTGCTGTACTATAGTCTTCGTCTCTTCCACCCTATTACATTAGGTGGAAACTTAGGTCATGAAGTATACCGAGCCAAGTTTAGCCTGTTTTGTCATTTTCTCTCACTTCTTGTCTATGCTCATATTTTTAATCTCTGAATCGAATACTCTCATCGGCTATCCTCCAAATACGGATCGTAAATTATCACGGCGGAAAATATACCCCAACAGGGCTCCGTCCTGTATGAACTCTCCTCCCCTTTTGTTGATCTCAGTCTTCAGGTTGCGTAAAACAAATGGTGTTGAAGAATGTCAAGGTAATCATGTCCAATAAGGGTGTTTACACACACGCGCGCGCGCACACACCACACACACACACACACAAAAGAGAACAGCAGCAGCACTAACGGGACACTAGCATAGCAGCACTCACTCGGACGTTGCTCACAGGTGACCCCTGAACGTACTTGTAATCTTCCTTGTTGGTTGTTAACTCCTGATTTCATAATGATGTCGATTACTGCACCAGTTCACATAAGTCACTCAAACAAACGCGCTGTGTGACCGTTTGATCGTCACCAAGCAGAAAGAAATTCAGCAACTTCTAAACTTGCATCAGCAGAATTTTTTTAAGCGTAGGGCCTTAACCCTTAGTGCTAAGCCATTTGAATTGTAGTTTTAGAATCTCCAAGGCTAAACTTCAACAAACCGATGTCCTTGGTTGGACAAAGCGAATCCCTCGGAAGGGGGGGGGTGCGGGGGGGGGGGCCTGAAGTGTAAAACTCCACTTCCTTGTTCGTTAATTACGACTTTGGTCGAAAGGTTTAGTTTGTCTGTGCGCGTGTTTTTTTTTCCTTCCAAATATTGCTTTTTTACTCCTTTTCTTGAAGTCCTTATTCAGAGTTTATCTCCAGTTAATTCAAATCTGGATATCAGCTCGCCTGAAGTCACATTCATCGATGTGGGTGGGGGAAAACATTCCTGGTGCCATGACTCTATGTGGGTGGGGAAAACATTCCTGGTGGCCATGACTCTATGTGGGTGGGGAAAACATTCCTGGTGCCATGACTCTATGTGGGTGGGGAAAACATTCCTGGTGCCATGACTCTATGTGGGTGGGGAAAACATTCCTGGTGCCATGACTCTATGTGGGTGGGGAAAACATTCCTGGTGCCATGACTCTATGTGGGTGGGGAAAACATTCCTGGTGCCATGACTCTATGTGGGTGGGGAAAACATTCCTGGTGCCATGACTCTATGTGAGTGGGGAAAACATTCCTGGTGCCATGACTTTATGTGGGTGGGGAAAACATTCCTGGTGCCATGACTTTATGTATGTGGGGGAAAACATTCCTGGTGCCATGACTCTATGTGGGTGGGGAAAACATTCCTGGTGCCATGACTCTTTGTGGGTGGGGAAAACATTCCTGGTGCCATGACTCTATGTGGGTGGGGAAAACATTCCTGGTGCCATGACTTTATGTATGTGGGGGAAAACATTCCTGGTGCCATGACTCTATGTGGGTGGGGAAAACATTCCTGGTGCCATGACTCTATGTGGGTGGGGAAAACATTCCTGGTGCCATGACTCTATGTGGGTGGGGAAAACATTCCTGGTGCCATGACTTTATGTGGGTGGGGAAAACATTCCTGGTGCCATGACTCTATGTGGGTGGGGAAAACATTCCTTCTGCCATGCCTCTATGTAGATGGGGAAAACATTCCTGGTGCCTTGCCTCTATGTAGATGGGGAAAACATTTATGGTGCCATGCCTCTATACAGATGGAAAAACATTCCTTCTGCCGTGTCTCTATCTAGATTGGAAAAACATTCCTGGTGCCATGCCTCTATGTGGATGGGGAAAACTTTCATGGTGCTATGATTCTATGTTGATGGGGAAAACTTTCATGGTGCCATGATTCTATGTGGATGGGGAAAACTTTCGAGGCATTGATGTGAATGCCGCAAAATAAATAATGAAAACATTTAAGAAACTAGTAACAGTGACAACGTGCTGTTTGTACAAAGTTTGCGACGGATGGACAGAGAAGACAACAAACTATAGCGCACTGACCGTTCCAATTATTTTCACAACATGCATTTAAAATAGTATTAAGACATGATTACATAACTAGTTGGAGTAGAAAAATTAGGCTCGAGTGGGAAAAATATGGCACAAAAAACAAACAAAGGCGGAACAACCTATTTATATTATGTGTTTTTCTATCAGCCAATGGTTTTGAAGTGCAAACTGATCTCCAAACACGGGCTGGAGATAACATCGTCGCCTACGCCGTTGTTCACTATAGAAATTTCGTAACGTTGACTACATCTGCATCAACACATCATGTCGGTGAGTGGTTGTACTTACACTAGATGTGTGTGGTTGTACATACACTAGGTGTGTGTGGTTGTACATACACTAGGTGTGTGTGGTTGTACATACACTAGGTGTGTGTGGTTGTACAGACACTAGGTGTGTGTGGTTGTACATACACTAGGTGTGAGTGGTTGTACATACACTAGGTGTGTGGTTGTATATACACTAGGTGTGTGTGGTTGTACATACACTAGGTGTGTGTGGTTGTATATACACTAGGTGTGTGTGGTTGTACATACACTAGGTGTGTGTGGTTGTACATACACTAGGTGTGAGTGGTTGTACATACACTAGGTGTGTGTGGTTGTACATACATTAGGTGTGTGTGGTTGTACATACACTAGGTGTGTGTAGTTGTACATACATTAGGTGTGTGTGGTTGTACATACATTAGGTGTGTGTGGTTGTACATACACTAGGTGTGTGTGGTTGTACATACACTAAGTGTGTGTGTGTGGTTGTACATACACTAGGTGTGTGTGGTTGTACATACACTAGGTGTGTGTGGTTGTACATACACTAGGTGTGTGTGGTTGTACATACACTAGGTGTGTGTGGTTGTACATACACTAGGTGTGTGTGGTTGTACATACACTAGGTGTGTGTAGTTGTACATACACTAGGTGTGTGTGGTTGTACATACATTAGGTGTGTGTGGTTGTACATACACTAGGTGTGTGTGGTTGTACAGACACTAGGTGTGTGTTGTTGTACATACACTAGGTGTGTGTGGTTGTACATACACTAGGTGTGTGTGGTTGTACATACACTAGGTGTGGGTGGTTGTATATACACTAGGTGTGTGTGGTTGTACATACACTTGGTGTGGGTGGTTGTATATACACTAGGTGTGTGTGGTTGTACATACACTTGGTGTGTGTGGTTGTACATACACTAGGTGTGTGTGGTTGTACATACACTAGATGTGTGTGGTTGTACATACACTAGGTGTGTGTGGTTGTACATACACTAGGTGTGTGTGGTTGTACATACACTAGGTGTGTGTGGTTGTACATACACTAGATGTGTGTGGTTGTACATACACTAGGTGTGTGTGGTTGTACATACACTAGATGTGTGTGGTTGTACATACACTAGGTGTGAGTGGTTGTACATACACCAGGTGTGATTGGTTGTACATACGATAGGTGTGTGTGGCTGTACATACACTAGGTATCTGCACAGTGAGACAATGTTACCAAGATCAGAAACGGTATATAAAAAAGAGATAGAGAGAGTGTAAGACAGAGAACGGACGGGAGAGAGACAGGGAGAACGGGCGAGTAGAGGGAGAGAGAGGGAGAGAGAGCTGGATAAAGAGAGATAGACAGAGGGAGAGAGAGAGAGGGAGAGAGAGCTGGATAAAGAGAGATAGATAGAGGGAGAGAGAGGGAGAGTGAGGGAGAGAGAGCTAGATAAAGAGAGATAGAGAGAGGAAGAGAGAGGAAGAGATATGAGAGAGGGAGAGAGAGGAAGAGAGGGAGAGAGAGGGAGAGAGGGGGAGGGAAAAAGAGAAAGGGAGAAAGAGGGGAATAGAGAGAGAGGGAGAGAGAGGGAGAGAGGGAGGAAGAGAGAGGGAGAGACAAAGAGAGAGGGAGAGAGAGAGGAAGAGAGAGGGAAAGAGAGAGAGGGAGAGAGAGGAAGAGAGAGAGGGGGGAAGAGAGAGAGGGAGAGAGAAAGGGAAAGAGAGAGAGTTAGAGAGGAAGGTAGAGCACTTTGTGTCGATCCCTAGAATCTCCGACTGGCGTCTTGACTTGTATGTTAGTTGAGCCGTTGTTGGAACAAAGAAATGGATTTGAGGAAAGGATGATGGTTGGAGAGGAAGAGAGGCATGAGAGGAGGAAGACAGACAGACAGAGAGACAGAGAGACAGACAGATAGATAGATAGAACGAACGAACGAACGAACAAACTTTACTTTCAAAGGGTTACAAATTGGGCACGCAGGCCCGTCTGACATTCGGCCCTTTTAAGCACTCGTTTTTCAGAGTACCTATGCCTGTTATCTAAAATGCATGTTATGGATATAGAATAAAAATATACATTATAGATTATAATACATACATCATGCGTACACAGTCTTACACACTCTCCCATTCTCATACATGCACATTCATATACCGACATACCTAGCACATACATACATCCATCCATCCATACATACATACAAACATAAATAAACGCATCTACATATATACACAAACAGAAAAGACACACACATACATATATGGACAAATATGCACACACACATTCCATACATACACACCTACACATGCATGCATGCATACACACACATACAATCACATGTACAGACACCCAGAACCACACATATACACTCACATGTAAGCATACATACACACATACACACATCAATACATACACCTACATCTTTACACACATACATGCTTACATACCTAAATACACACATGTGCACTCACATACTTATACATCTACAAATGCATACACACATCCACAAACATGCATACATACACACACCCACATACATGCCGACACACATTACATACATACCCACACATGCATGCATACACACATTTATAACCATAGATAGATAGATTAGATAGATAGATTAGATAGAAAGATTAGATAGATTAGATAGATAGATAGATAGATAGATAGATAGATAGATAGATAGATAGATAGATAGATAGATAGATAGATAGATAGATAGATAGATAGATAGATAGATAGATAGATAGATAGATAGATAGATAGATAGATAGATAGATAGATAGATAGATAGATAGATAGATAGATAGATAGATAGATAGATAGATAGATAGATAGATAGATAGATAGATAGATAGATAGATAGATAGATAGATAGATAGATAGATAGATAGATAGATAGATAGATAGATAGATAGATAGATAGATAGATAGATAGATAGATAGATAGATAGATAGATAGATAGATAGATAGATAGATAGATAGATAGATAGATAGATAGATAGATAGATAGATAGATAGATAGATAGATAGATAGATAGATAGATAGATAGATAGATAGATAGATAGATAGATAGATAGATAGATAGATAGATAGATAGATAGATAGATAGATAGATAGATAGATAGATAGATAGATAGATAGATAGATAGATAGATAGATAGATAGATAGATAGATAGATAGATAGATAGATAGATAGATAGATAGATAGATAGATAGATAGATAGATAGATAGATAGATAGATAGATAGATAGATAGATAGATAGATAGATAGATAGATAGATAGATAGATAGATAGATAGATAGATAGATAGATAGATAGATAGATAGATAGATAGATAGATAGATAGATAGATAGATAGATAGATAGATAGATAGATAGATAGATAGATAGATAGATAGATAGATAGATAGATAGATAGATAGATAGATAGATAGATAGATAGATAGATAGATAGATAGATAGATAGATAGATAGATAGATTAGATAGATAACAAGCACACAAGCTGAAAAACAGAGACTGAAGGGATGCATTGTGTCCCCAACAGGTGGAGGTGCTGTTCTGCCACCGAGCAGACGTGTCCGAGCGGTCACTTTTAGGGACGACTTCAATAACTACAACCAGGCCAACTGGAACCCGGAAATCTCCATGTTTGGTGGGATGGTGAGTTAATCCCAAATGAACTACTGTAAAACACCAGGGCTCTATAGAGAAAATTACATCGTGCAACAGCGGGTGAAGAAATGTTTAGAACGTTGGATCAGGCTAGCCCCGTGGCTCTTGAAACTAGAGCTCTAAACAGAACATAGCGTCCCCTGAAACTAGAGCTCTAATCAGAACATAGCGTCCCCTGAAACTAGAGCTCTAATCAGAACATAGCGTCCCCTGAAACTAGAGCTCTAAACATAACATAGAGTACACTGAAACTAGAGCTCTAAACATAACATAGAGTACCCTGAAACTAGAGCTCTAAACAGAACATAGGGTACCCTGAAACTAGAGCTCTAAACAGAACATCGGGTACCCTGAAACTAGAGCTCTAAACAGAACATAGCGTCCACTGAAAATAGAGCTCTAAACAGAACATAGCGTCCCCTGAATCTAGAGCTCTAATCAGAACATAGCGTCCCCTGAAACTAGAGCTCTAATCAGAACATAGCGTCCCCTAAAACTAGAGCTCTAAACAGAACATAGCGTCCCCTGAAACTAGAGCTCTAATCAGAACATAGCATCCCCTGAAACTAGAGCTCTAATCAGAACATAGCGTCCCCTGAAACTAGAGCTCTAAACAGAACATAGCGTTCCCTGAAACTAGAGCTCTAAACAGAACATAGCGTCCCCTGAAACTAGAGCTCTAATCAGAACATAGCGACCCTGAAACTAGAGCTCTAAACAGAACATAGCTTTCCCTGAAACTAGAGCTCTAAACAGAACATAGCGTTCCTGAAACTAGAGCTCTAATCAGAACATAGCGTCCCCTGAAACTAGAGCCCTAATCAGAACATAGAGTACCCTGAAACTAGAGCTGTAAGCAGAACATAGGGTACCCTGAAACTAGAGCTATAAACAGAACAAAGGGTACTTTGAAACCAGAGCTGTAAAGAGAACATAGGGTACACTAAAACCAGAGCTATAAACAGAACATAGGGTACCCTGAAATCAGAGCTATAAACAGAACATAGGGTACATTAAAGCCAAAGCTATAAACAGAACATAGGGTACCCTGAAACCTGAGCTATAAAGAGTACAAAGGGTGCCCTGAAACCAGAGCTATAAACAGAATATAGGGTACTCTGAAACCAGAGCTATAAACAGAACATGGGGTACCATGAAACCAAAGCTCTAATCAGAACATAGGGTACGCTGAAAGTAGAGCTCTAAACTAAACAAAGGGTACCCTGAAACCAGAGCTGTAAACATAACACAAGGTACCCTGAAACTAGAGCTGTAAGCAGAACATATGGTACCCTGAAACCAGAGCTATAAACAAAACATATGGTACTCTGAAACCAGAGCTATAAACAGAAAATAGGGTACCCTGAAACTAGAGCTATAAGCAGAACATAGGGTACCCTGAAACCAGAGCTGTAAACAGAACATAAAGTACCCTGAAACCAGAGCTGTAAGCAGAACATAGGGTACCCTGAAACCAGAGCTATAAACAGAACATAGGGTACTCTGAAACCAGAGCTATAAACAGAACATAGGGTTCCCTGAAACTAGAGCTATAAACAGAACATAGGGTACCCTGAAACTAGAGCTATAAACAGAACATAAGGTACCCTGAAACCAGAGCTATAAACAGAAAATAGGGTACCCTGAAACCAGGGCTATAAATAGAACATAGGGTACCCTGAAACCAGAGCTGTAAACAGAACATAGGGTACCCTGAAACCAGAGCTATAAACAGAACATAGGGTATACTGAAACCAGTTCTATAAACAGAACATATGGTACCCTGAAATCACTGCTATAAACAGAACATAGGGTACCCTTAAGCCAGAGCTATAAACAGAACATAGGGTACCCTGAAACCAGTGCTATAAACAAAACATAGGGTACCCTGAAACCAGGGCTATAAATAGAAAATAGGGTACCCTGAAACCAGAGCTGTAAACAGAACATAGGGTACCCTGAAACCAGAGCTATAAACAGAACATAGGGTATACTGAAACCAGTTCTATAAACAGAACATATGGTACCCTGAAATCACTGCTATAAACAGAACATAGGGTACCCTTAAGCCAGAGCTATAAACAGAACATAGGGTACCCTGAAACCTGAGCTATAAAGAGTACAAAGGGTGCCCTGAAACCAGAGCTATAAACAGAATATAGGGTACTCTGAAACCAGAGCTATAAACAGAACATGGGGTACCATGAAACCAAAGCTCTAATCAGAACATAGGGTACGCTGAAACTAGAGCTCTAAACTAAACAAAGGGTACCCTGAAACCAGAGCTGTAAACATAACACAAGGTACCCTGAAACTAGAGCTGTAAGCAGAACATATGGTACCCTGAAACCAGAGCTATAAACAAAACATATGGTACTCTGAAACCAGAGCTATAAACAGAAAATAGGGTACCCTGAAACTAGAGCTATAAGCAGAACATAGGGTACCCTGAAACCAGAGCTGTAAACAGAACATAAAGTACCCTGAAACCAGAGCTGTAAGCAGAACATAGGGTACCCTGAAACCAGAGCTATAAACAGAACATAGGGTACTCTGAAACCAGAGCTATAAACAGAACATAGGGTTCCCTGAAACTAGAGCTATAAACAGAACATAGGGTACCCTGAAACTAGAGCTATAAACAGAACATAAGGTACCCTGAAACCAGAGCTATAAACAGAAAATAGGGTACCCTGAAACCAGGGCTATAAATAGAACATAGGGTACCCTGAAACCAGAGCTGTAAACAGAACATAGGGTACCCTGAAACCAGAGCTATAAACAGAACATAGGGTATACTGAAACCAGTTCTATAAACAGAACATATGGTACCCTGAAATCACTGCTATAAACAGAACATAGGGTACCCTTAAGCCAGAGCTATAAACAGAACATAGGGTACCCTGAAACCAGTGCTATAAACAAAACATAGGGTACCCTGAAACCGGTGCTATAAACAGAACATAGGGTACCCTGAAACAACAGCTCTAAACATAACATAGGGTATCCGGAAACCAGAGCTATAAACAGAACATAGGATAATCTGTTAATCTCATAAGAGGTTATAATTGAGGTGCCCTAATGTACTGTAAAATCCTGTAACCACAGCAATATCTTACTCCTAGGCTTAAACCAACTACTCGCTTTCAAGTTTCGACGTTCTTAACTCTGCAGAGATCCCTGTTACCCTATCTTTGTTTATTATTTATATAATATTTTTTGAATATTTTCCTATAGAGTATCCTTATACTTCTGGTATTTTTGGCGTCATAAGATAGTTCTCTGTGTATTTCCAATTGCATGGTATCCTTCTGTGTTATTTAATTCATTACTGTTTTGTTGGTTGTTAAAGACTGGTGGAAAAGTTACATCGCTTCGTGGCGTTCCTTCTGCAGTGCCGTCTAGTCACATACTAGGTTTATGTTTAATGATATCTTTACAATCGTTGAACTCTGCCTCATACTTGTTTTTCTGTTGTATGAGTTATGAATTATGAGTTATATTATCTTCACAGCACTTCGGACACATCTATAGGCGCTCAGATTCCCCTCTCAACATATTCATCAGCGTCGCGTTGATAGTGCCAGTCCTATGTTGGTAAACCTGGTTCAGTGTGCGTTCGGTGTGCTTCTCATGCTTGGCTGCGCCGATCTTTACATCCAATTCTCGTATTCTTAGCAGTGATGTGGACCCGTTGCTTCCAAAATCCTCTGAACGTCCTATCTCTCTAATAGCAATGACAATTTCTGCGTGATCCATAGGCAGGCCCTCTTCATTTAATACAGCACCTGCCAGTCTATCAGCTCTCTCATTACCAACAACGCCTGCATGATCTGGGACGAATATGAAAGTAGCTGCACGCAGAGGAGAGTTTTGCAATGACTTAAACGACTGTCTGCGTAACCAGCCTGCCTCGACCTGTCGGATCATGATCAAAGAATCACTCAGCACACACACGCGGAAATAGTCCTGTGATTCTAGAAATATGAAAGCTTGTGTCACCACTATTACTTCCATCGTCATGCTGCTGGTGGTCATGGAGAAGACACCGCTGGCTTCTTGAACTCTTCTGCCCGAAGAGCGACCTTTAAATGCCCATGGACTTTTATGTCCTCGTATAACGGACCCGTCTGTGAAGATCACAACATCTGTCTCATATCACGACACATGAGAATGTGAGATTGGGCGCTTTAGACTCTGGTATCCACTTCTCGCCTGGATGGATGTCTGTAAGGCTGCAAACCTGCATGATGTCATCCTCTGCCCTACCCAGCCATGATTTGCCACTTTTAAGCCTATAGCCCTTTTTCTCAAAGAGCATCTGGTGCAAAGGGTGCTTCAGATCTGTTCTTATCTTGAGGAAAGCACAAGCCCTCCAGATTTTGATCCTGTAGTACATGGTAGGGAAGTCAAAAAAAAAAAAAAAAACCTAATTGCTACACAAGAGGTGTCTCCAGTGCACCCCAGAATAATGCTTCGGTTTTCAGCTTCTCAAGTCTTTCAATCTGAGTATGGCTGACAGTGAGGATGGCTAGTTTTCTGTCGTAGTTATTTGCTAAACTTTGAACTGTGACCGACATAACCTTGATGTCCTCAGAACTGGGAGTTCCAGGTCTACACTCCAGAATCCAAGAACATCTACGCCAGTGGCGGCAACCTGTTTCTACGCCCTGTAAGTCACATTTTTTACGTTATCACTCCAGCATTATTTAATTCACATCATTTACATCTTTTTTCCCGCATCCTGTAAGTCACCTGGTTAACTCAGTCACTAACTCCCGAGACTATTTCATTTATTTATGTGAAAATATAATCATCATATCATCATCATATCATCATATCATCATATTATCATCATTATCATCATCGCTATTAACATCATCAGCAGGCCAACACAGGAGACCACAGGTCGCTAGCTCACATTATGTTCACTTTTCAGTCTTTTGGTTTTCTTGTTCAGATAAGACTATCTAGCTAACCAGTGCTTTTGTTTTAGCCGTAGTGTATCTGTTTCCACATACAAATAGTTATGTCCACTCATATACAAATAGTCTATGTACTCACATACAACACATACAGACAATTCTCGCATACAAATATTTCTCTTCACTCACATTTAGCTCTGTGTACTCACTTACAAATAGTGTTATCCTCGAACGTATGTATCACTGTCCCAATATGGGACCCAGCTTTCCCCCGTTATTTTTAAAGCCCTACTCCGGCTGTTGCCTGGCCCCTAATGTTACCCGTTGAACAGAGTTTTTGGGACCTGTCCCTGGATTAACATTACCCGAATAGTAGCACTTTGTGTCACCGGTTTGTATCGCTCGGTGTGATGTCCTGGTGGGTTTAAACGTCAGTCAATCAATCAAGTGTTTGTATCGCTGGGTGTGATATCCTGGTAGGTTTGAACGTCAGTCAGTCAATCAAGTGTTTGTAATTTTGTGAACTGAACTGTTACAGACGCTGACCACAGACGATCCGAGATTTGACGAGAACTTCTTGCGGACAGGAGTCATGGATGTGGCCAGTAAGTGAATGCCTGTTCGATGTGTGACTGTGTCTCCTGTTCGATGTGTGACTGTGTCTCCTGCTTGTTGTTGCACGTTCCAAAACCTGCCTAAATATGTTTATAGAAAGACAAAGGTAGTTCTGCCGAATCAGTGGAGTGGCTAGATGATGGCACGTCGACTAGAAAGTTTTCAGTTCGAATTCTCACAGAGGCGAAATTTTTATCATCGACCTTTTCTTCCCGGTCAAACAACAAAAGTGCGACGGCATCAGGCGCTAGGGCCAGGCATAAAGAGAAAAAAAGGGGAGGGGGGGGGGCGGTGAGGGACTGTTACATTGTTGAGGGACCCATAAAGATAAATATTCCTAAACAACCACAATTTTTGGAGAATTTTTTTTTAGTCAAATTTCGGACGTACAATTTGTAATCTGTCTGTAAATCGTCTAGCAGCCTTGTTTGACAGTCTAGCAGCCTTGTTTGACATAGCCTCAATGATTTATTGCGTCGCCCCATGCGGGATGCAATTGTTAGTTATTCTGAAGCATAAATATAGCAGGGCCTTAAACATGACCTAACCTCTGAAAGGGGTTTCCGGGACCTCTCCACGGGTGATTCTCATCCGCATTGTGGCACTTTGTGTCATCGGGTGTTAATCGCTTGTGTGATGTCCTGGTGGGGTACAATTTACCTAGCTACCTGTAGCCTTAATTAAAGTGGAGGTACAATAGGGGCCATTTTGAAACATTCGATCCGTGTAATATATTTGCAAGTGTGTTTGAGTACAATTATTAAATTTACAATTATGACACAATTAATGTATGTGTCCATGAGTAGATGAGGGGTGCCTATATTAGCACCGCCACCCTTCATCATTAAATGATCCTATCGGTGACCCAGGCTCATGCACTTTGAGCTATTCAGCAAATTAAAATAGTAATAGTCATTATTGTTGCGCGGTTAAACAAGACCAATGTGTCTCTCTCTAGTCCCCGCCCTGAGGCCTTTACACCCCCCCCCCACACCGTGTTAACTTGTTGTCGACTTCCCCGGGTACAAGGAACTGTCAAGTGAAGTAAAGGCAGTGAGAGATATACTGCCTACGTCAGCCTCCGAGTGCCGGTTGATCTATACGATATAATCTATACGATATAATCTATACGATATAATCTATACGATATAATTTATACGATACAATCTATACAATATACGAGCCTAGTCTTACATGTTCCTTGTGTTTGTGGTGTGAAACAATTGACCGTAAAGCTCGTCCACTAATCATCTACTGCCACTGCAATGTTCAGGTCTACACATATTCTACCAATCAGAGGTGTTTCATTCAAAGTCCGAGTGCATCTGCCTGCATGGCGGGAAACCAACAGTTTGCATTCAAATAGACCAGATCTATAAAACGGATGCGCACGCAAAACTCAAGTCTGGAACAAGACCAACGTCCACATGTAAAAAGAACACCTAGAACGTTTCACCTGAGTTTACAGTCAGTGAAAGTCAAATGAGCTGAAAACATGAGGTTAGTCCGCTCAGGCAGACGAGATTGTAGCCGGCACGTTTTGTGTACAGGGTATCTCGGTAGTGTCCTGAAGACGTCACGGTACAGATAAATCAACCAGGAAGTGCCGTCTCCATAAGTGAAGTTTGGCTGCAACCGACGCCCAAGATGTTATGTCTCTGGTTCTGGGCACACACTCTCTGAGACTGCTGTCAGTCAATCTCCCACTTGTATCGTTGATTACTTCTTGCTCGCCTGCTGTTAAATGTTCCCTCCAATATATGATTTTTATGTAAACCAAATGGCTTGTAAAATACGCAATGTATCATGGCATTGATGACACTGTCCGACTGATGTAGTTCATCACTTGATGCTGTCCTTCTACTTGTGTTAATGTTAACATACTGCTTACATGCCCTCACATATTCCTTCCACTTTAGCTATTATGTGGATATTTTCAACTGTGACCTTAGCATCCAGGACTAGCCAGCCTCAAACGGGTCCTAGGAAGTAAAGGCCGCCGGCGTGATGTTGACCACATTAAGCAGTGCTAGATTCTGCGTAAAAACATGTCTGGCATCATTTACCCAGTGCCTCCATGGCATTAGATGGTTCCTGTGTTGTTGACATTGCTTCATTGCTCCTCTAAGAATGTAGTGTATTCAATATACCGACTTGACATTATTTTATTGCTCCTATAAGAATGTAGTGTATTCAATACACCGACTCTTTTATGGCCCTGATAGCACGGTACTGATATTGTGACGTCATTCAACAGGAATCTGGGGTCGATGCACTAACGACGGTAACTATGGCTGCAACAGAGATGGACACAACGGTCTGCTGCCCCCAGTCATGTCCGGCAAAGTGTCCAGCGTCCCAACTGCCCTTTATGGATCCGTGGAAGTCCGTGCCAAGATTCCCCAAGGAGACTGGTTGTGGCCTGGTATGTTTGTTTTGAGAAAAATTATCAGTATTTGACTTTGAATAGTATTTCTTCAATTTGCATGTTATCTCATGTTGCAAAACGCGATGAACACGGACATGGACCTAGTGGACAGATGTCAAAGTAAAGCTGAATGACCCTATGACCACGGACATGGACCTAGTGTACAGATGTCAAAGTAAAAGCTAAATGACGCGATGACCACGGACATAGACCTAGTGTGCAGATGTCAAAGTAAAAGCTAAATAACGCGGTGACCACGGACATAGACATAGTGTGCAGATGTCAAAGTAAAAGCTAAATGACGCGATGACCACGGACATGGACTTAGTGGACAGATGTCAAAGTAAAGCTGAATGACACTATGACCACGGACATAGACCTAGTGTGCAGATGTCAAAGTAAAAGCTAAATGACGCGATGACCACGGACATGGACTTAGTGGACAGATGTCAAAGTAAAGCTGAATGACACTATGACCACGGACATAGACCTAGTGTGCAGATGTCAAAGTAAAAGCTTAATGACTCGATGACCACGGACATGGACTTAGTGGACAGATGTCAAAGTAAAGCTGAATGACACTATGACCACGGACATGGACCTAGTGTACAGATGTCAAAGTAAAAGCTAAATGACGCGATGACCACGGACATTGACTTAGTGGACAGATGTCAAAGTAAAGCTGAATGACACTATGACCACGGACATAGACCTAGTGTGCAGATGCCAAAGTAAAAGCTAAATGACGCGATGACCACGGACATGGACCTAGTGTGCAGATGTCAAAGTAAAAGCTAAATGACGCGATGACCACGGACATGGACATAGTGTGCAGATGTCAAAGTAAAAGCTAAATGACGCGATGACCACGGACATAGACCTAGTGGGCAGATGTCAAAGTAAAGCTGAATGACACTATGACCACGGACATAGACCTAGTTGGCAGATGTCAAAGTAAAAGCTAAATGACGCGATGACCACGGACATAGACCTAGTGGGCAGATGTCAAAGTAAAGCTGAATGACACTATGACCACGGACATAGACCTAGTGGGCAGATGTCAAAGTAAAGCTGAATGACACTATGACCACGGACATAGACCTAGTGGGCAGATGTCCGGCAAAACAAAACCTATCTACGCACAATTTACACATCTGGCATGTGACACTGGACATCAAGTGGGCCTTTATCACTCCCCATTACATTTCCTGCTATGGATGTCAGCTGGGTTGACGTGGGAGCTGGGTTGACGTGGGAGCTGGGTTGACGTGGGAGCTGGGTTGACGTGGGAGCTCGGTTGACGTGGGAGCTGGGTTGCCGTGGGAGCTGGGTTGCCGTGGGAGCTGGGTTGACGTGGGAGCTGGGTTGACGTGGGAGCTGGGTTGACGTGGGAGCTGGGTTGACGTGGGAGCTAGGTTGACATGGGAGCTGGGTTGCCGTGGGAGCTGGGTTGACGTGGGAGCTGGGTTGACGTGGGAGCTGGGTTGACGTGGGAGCTGGGTTGACTTGGGAGCTGGGTTGACGTGGGAGCTGGGTTGACGTGGGAGCTGGGTTGACGTAGGAGCTGGGTTGACGTGGGAGCTGGGACCAGGGCTGGCATTCAATCCATATCCAGATTGGATTTAAACAAAATGACCTGGCTGCCAGATCAACTGATTCTGACCGGGAAACACGGGAAGCAAAGGCAGCTGGTGGGATGTTGACAACATCACGGATAGTTCATGGTGGTTATTTCTTTCTACCATCGGATAGTTCATGGTGGTTATTTCTTAGTTCATAGCTGTTTTATCTTTCTGCTTTTGAAAATAGTTCATGATGATTATTTATGTTTACGCCTGAACTGTTTATAGTGTTTACTGCTTTCTTCATAGGAATAGTACATACTGGTTGTTAATTGTTACTCTTGGTTATTTCTTTCTGCAGCTATCTGGATGATGCCGAGGGACAGCAAGTATGGAGGCTGGCCTCGATCTGGGGAGATTGACATCATGGAGTCTAGAGGTATGTTAAGGACATCGTGGAGTCTAGAGGTACGTTAGTGTCATCATGGAGTCTAGAGATATGTTACTGACATCATGGAGTCTAGAGATATGTTAGTGACATCATGGAGTCTAGAGATATGTTACTGACATCATGGAGACTAGAGGTATGTTAGTGTCATCATGGAGTCTAGAGATATGTTACTGACAGCATGGAGTCTAGACGTACGTTAGTGACATCATGGAGTCTAGAGGTATGTTAGTGTCATCATGGAGTCTAGAGATATGTTACTGACATCATGGAGTCTAGACGTACGTTAGTGACACCATGGAGTCTAGAGATATGTTACTGACATCATGGAGACTAGAGGTACGTTAGTGACACCATGGAGTCTAGAGATATGTTACTGACATCATGGGGACTAGAGGTAAGTTAATGACATCATGGAGTATAGAGGGCACAATTTGTTTGATCAGTTATATTTAATTTTAACGGACATGGCTGTCTTGAATAGGACAAAAAAAGTCTTAAAAAAAACTACTAGAAGAACGGGAAGGACAGACTCCGAAGAACGTTGAAGAGCGAGACCAGTCGTGCTAGAATGGACTCTATCGATGTCGGGAAGGACAGACTCCGAAGAACGTTGAAGAGCGAGACCAGTCGTGCTAGAATGGACTCTATCGATGTCGGGATAGAAGACAATGGGGCCTAGACTGAATTCTACGTTATGTACGATAGTGAACTTTCTGATACAAATAATTTGCAGTAACATTTCGAACTGTTATGAAAACTGTACACGTGACTGTCTTCCCCTGCCCTCCTGTCAACTATCAAAGGTATCTTCATTAAACAATGTTAACTCTTCATTACACAATGTTAACTCTTCATTACACAATGTTAACTCTCGAGCAGGAAACGGCGGCGACATCGGAGTTAACACCGTTAGCAGTACACTCCACTGGGGCCCTGCCTGGGATCAGAACCGCTGGGATTTGACGCACGGCGAAAGGTATTTGTGATATGCTCTATCTATCTATCTATCTATCTATCTATCTATCTATCTATCTATCTCATCTATCTATCTATCTATCTATCTATCTATCTATCTATCTATCTATCTATCCTATCTATCTATCTATCGATACATCTATCTATACTATCTATCTATCTATCGATATCTATCTATCTATCTATCTATCTATCTATCTATCGTATCTATCTATCTATCTATCTATCTATATATCTATCTATCTAATCTATCTATCTATCTATCTATCTGTGTCGTCTGTCTGTCTCTCTGTCTGTCTGTTGGTCGGTTCGGTCGGTCGGTCGGTCGGTCGGTCGGTCGGTCGGTCGGTCGGTCGGTCGGTCGGTCGGTCGGTCGGTCGGTCGGTCGGTCGGTCGGTCGGTGCGGCGGTCGGTCGGTCGGTTCGGTCGGTCGGTCGGTCGGTCGGTCGGTCGGTCGGTCGGTCGGTCGGTCGGTTCGGTCGGTCGGTCGGTCGGTCGGTCGGTCGGTCGGTCGGTCGGTCGGTCGGTCGGTCGGTCGGTCGGTCGGTCGGCCGTAGGTCGGTCGGTCGGTCGGTCGGTCGGCCCTCGGTCGGTCGGTCGTCGGTCGGTCGGTCGGTCGGTCGGTCGGTCGGTCGGTCGGTCGGTCGGTCGGTCGGTCGGTCGGTCTGTCTGTCTGTCTGTCTGTTTGTCTGTCCATCCATTGATGCAATAATCCAGCGAGCCATCCATGCCTCAACCCATACATCCATCCACCTTACCATCTGTCTGTTCATCCGTCTGCCTGTCTGTCTGTAGTCTATCTCTCAGTCTGTCTGTCCTGGTTGCCTGTCTGTGTATCTCATGCAGAAGGGCAAGAACCCAAAAGAATTGTTTCTAAAACCAGTGAAGCAATTTCTGTTGTTTGCATTTGTTTATTCATTACATTGAGTAGATATCATACTCCCACAGACAAACACGCACTCACACACAGACACACACACTTACACACACACTTATACACACTGAGGCACACTTACTCTCACACACATACACACACTGACACACACTTACTCTCTCACACACATACATACAGTTAGGCACACCTACTCTCTCACACACATACACACACTGAGGCACACCTACTCTCTCACACACATACACACACTGAGGCACACCTACTCTCTCACACACATACACACGCTGAGGCACACCTACTCTCTCACACACATACACACGCTGAGGCACACCTACTCTCTCACATACATACGGACACTGAGGCACACCTACTCTCTCACACACATACACACACACATACACACACTGAGGCACACCTAGCCTCTCACACACATACACACGCTGAGGCACACCTAGCCTCTCACACACATATACACACTGAGGCACACCTACTCTCTCACACACATACACACGCTGAGGCACACCTACTCTCTCACACACATACACACGCTGAGGCACACCTACTCTCTCACACACATACACACGCTGAGGCACACCTACTCTCTCACATACATACGGACACTGAGGCACACCTACTCTCTCACACACATACACACACACATACACACACTGAGGCACACCTAGCCTCTCACACACATACACACGCTGAGGCACACCTAGCCTCTCACACACATACACACACTGAGGCACACCTACTCTCTCACACACATACACACGCTGAGGCACACCTAGCCTCTCACACACATATACACACATACACACACACATGCCTCTATGTAAAATGATTAAAAGCGGCGTTGCTCTGTGCTCTCTGACAGAACCAATGGAAACTACCACAATGACTTCCACACCTGGCGCCTGGACTGGAACCAGGACCACCTCATGTGAGATGTTGACCACACCTGTACATGTTGACCAGATGTATATATGTTAACAAGATGTGTATATGTTAAACAGATGTGTATATGTTAAACAGATGTGTATATGTTGACCGGATCTGTATGTGTTGACTAGATTTGTATATGTTGACCAGATGCGTATATGTTTACAGGATGTATGTGTTAACAACATCTGTATATGTTCACTAAATCTATATATGTTGACCAGATGTGTATATGTTGACCAGATGTTTATATGTTGACCAGATGTCTATATGTTGACCAGATGTGTATATGTTTACCAGATGTGTATATGTTGACCAGATGTATATATGTTGACCAGATGTTTATATGTTGACCAGATGTCTATATGTTGATCAGATGTGTATATGTTGACCAGATGTGTATATGTTGACCAGATGTGTATTTGTTGACCATTTGTTTTATATGTGTTACTTCACTATAAGCTCATTTGAGATAAGTATTACTTCATGGTGAACTGAAATGAGATATGTATTACTTCAGTGTAAGCTGAAGTGAGATATATATTACTTTGCTGTAAGATGTAGCGGGAGATGGATTACTTCTCTGTACTCTGAAATGAGACATTATTACTTAACCGTTAGGTCAAGTGAGATTAATATAACTTCACTGTTAGCTGAGATGAGATAAGTTAGGATTACTTTATTGTTAGCTGAAGGAAGATAGGTATTACTTCACTGTTAGCTAAAGGAAGATAGGTATTACTTCACTGTTAGCTAAAGGAAGATAGGTATTACTTGACTGTTAGCTAAAGGAAGATAGGTATTACTTCACTGCTGGCTAAAAAGCGATTAGTTTTACATCACCTGAAAGCTGAAGTGAGATAAATTTTACTTCACAGTTAAGTGAACTGAGATAGGTATTACTCACTGTAAGATTTAGTGAGATAATGATTACTTAACTGCAAGCTAAAGTGAGATAAGTATTACATCGCCTGAAGCTAAGGTAAATGTGTGATGATGATGAATATTACATGTCTATAACAGTACATACGTCGACAACAATCGAATCGTAGACGTAGAAGTTGGTGCTGGATTCTGGCAGAAAGGTGGCTTCTCTGGCAGTAACCCTTGGGCTGGTGGCGGACATTCAGCTCCCTTTGACCAACCTGTAAGTAAAACCGAAAGTTTCTAAATGACACAGTTATTTGACAGAAATATGTAACTAACACTACGGCAAGTCTGTAGTTTGGCAGCCACGTTGATTTCGAGGCTAGACACTCGCCTGACCACCCGGGGTGTCGGGTTTAAATCTATTCTAAGAGGGATTTGTTGACTCCAAAGCTCGTCACTGGTTCACAGGCGGACCAAGCCTTATATTGCCATAGGAAGTAATGGCGCAATCACGTGACAGGAAACTTTCAAGTAGCCTTACTGCATTATGGTTAATAAATAAATTCCAGTTCTATTCTCTCATGGTTGAGCAATGTGATTCGGTTTCTGTCATCAGCTGGTCATAATTTTAACCAATTTACTTTTGTTCCATCGATTAATTGTCACCTGATTCGGTTTGTTGCACCAGTTATTACCACATTCACCCGATTAACCTTGTTGCACCAATTATGAACACATTCAACCTATTTTTTTTTCTTTGCACTAATCGTGAACACATCCCATTAATTAAACTGTACTAATTATCAACTTTTCCCTTCCATTCATTTCACTCTACTAATTATCAACATTTCCCTCCCATTCGTTTCACTCCACTAATTATTATTATTTCTCTCTCATTCATTTCACTCCTCTAATTATTAATATTTTCCTCTCATTCATTTCACCCCACTAATTATCTACATTTCCCTCCCATTAATTTCACTCCACTAATTATCCTTTCCCTCCAATTAAATTCACTCCTCTAATTATCGTTTCTCTCACATTCATTTCACTCCACTAATTATCAATATTTCTTTCCCATTGCAGTTTTTCCTGATGCTGAACGTTGCGGTCGGAGGCACTAACGGTTATTTCCCTGACAACGGTAACTATGGTGGGGCGAGGAAACCTTGGGCAAACAATTCCCCACATGCAGCCGATGATTTCTGGGGTGCCAGAAACGACTGGTTGCCCAGCTGGCGTGGCGACGAGACCGCTCTCATTGTCGACTATGTGCAATTCAGTAATTAGTCAAACCAAATCGTTTTTTGTTTGAAATGTTTGCAACAGTGGCAGGGAAACATAATATATATGTTACATATCTTTATATATACAGCTGAACTTTTCGGAGATAATCTCGTCTTAAAGCCTTTCATGAAACCGTTGTTCAAGAACAGAAGACATTTTCTGGTCAGATTTAACATGACATAAATTAATATATTAACGAGACACTGACTGATGGTTACGTTTATCAAGCCTGTATTATATAACTCAATGTACTTCATGCATAAAACTGCAGGCAACGAACATTGGACATGCGTGCACACTTACAAACACATGAATAAACATAATAAATATATTCAGATAGACTCAGTTTCACTTTATGTAACTTTACAGGTACAGAAAAGAGCTGATGGCGATAAAGAGTTGATGGTGATAGAGAGTTGATGGTGATAGAGAGCTAATGGTGATAGAGAGTTGATGGTGATAGAGAGCTAATGGTGATAGAGAGTTGATGGTGATAGAGAGCTAATGGTGATAGAGAGTTGATGGTGATAGAGAGCTAATGGTGATAGAGAGTTGATGGTGATAGAGAGCTGATGGTGATAGAGAGTTGATGGTGATAGAGAGCTGATGGTGATAGAGAGCTGATGGTGATAGAGAGCTGATGGTGATAGAGAGTTGATGGTGCTAGAGAGTTGATGGTGATAGAGAGTTGAATGGTGATAAAGAGCTGATGGTGATAAAGAGCTGATGGTGATAAAGAGAGCTGATGGTGATAGAGAGTTGATGGTGATAGAGAGTTGATGGTGATAGAGAGCTGATGGTGATAGAGAGCTGATGGTGATAGAGAGTTGATGGTGATAGAGAGCTGATTGATGGTGATAGAGAGCTGATGGTGATAGAGAGCTGATGGTGATAGAGAGCTGATGGCGATAGAGAGCTGATGGTGATAGAGAGCTGATGGTGATAGAGAGCTGATGGTGATAGAGAGTTGATGTGTAGATAGAGAGTTGATGGTGATAGAGAGCTGATGGTGATAGAGAGCTGATGGTGATAGAGAGCTGATGGTGATAGAGAGTTGATGGTGATAGAGAACTGATGGTGATAGAGAGCTGATGGTGATAGAGACTTGATGGTGATAGAGAGCTGAGTGATAGAGACCATGGTGATAGAGAGCTGATTTGATAGAAGCTGATGCCATAGAGAGCTGATGGTGATAGCAAGCTGATGGTGATAGGAGCTGATGGTGACTGAGAGCTGATGGTGATAGAGAAATTTTGAATGAGCTGATAGATAGAGACTCTTGCGATAAGAGCTGATGACGATAGAGAGTTGATGACGATACGAGATGATGGCGATAGAGAGCTGATGGCGATAGAGAGCTCAGGCGAAGAGAGCTGATGGCGATAGAGAGCTGATGGCGATAGAGAGTGATGGTGATAGAGAGCAGGCTGTGTGGTACCATAGGAGCCCCAATTATAACTATTTCAGAGGTTGAACGGGTAGTCTGGGTTTTCCCTGATGGTCTGTACATGCAGACCGCAATGTCTTAATTCAAATTTGCAAACCTTCAAGAAGTAGCCCTGACAGGATAAATGGCAAATGCGGTTCAAGGGGTAAACGGCTTATTTTTGCAAAGTTTTAGGGGATGAAAGTCTGTGCTTCCCGATATATATATATCATATATATATATATATATAATATAATATATATAGATATACCGATGACAATGAGAGAGATAGCAGAGACCTGAGAGAGAGAGAAATAGTTCCCAAAGACTGCCGAACGACTAACGCTGAAGTGGTTAGATAACATAGTCACACGATCAAAATGATGGCGTCACTTTTCTTTGTGATTTGATTTCCTAAATTTGCACGTTTATTGTGGATGTTGTGTAAGGATGTGCTTTTGCCACCGCAGTCTGCTCGTGTTAAGGGTTGGCTAGCTTTTTTTGGGGAGTGAAAGGTAAAATTTCAGTAGCCTGCCAATTAACGAGGCTCAGAACAACCCCACCTCCTGTGGTGTTTTTCATAAACTGAACAAAGGATTCAGGTAACGGGGAAATGACTTGCCTGGAAGGAGCCAGGCACCAACCAGGCCAGATTTGTTCAAGCCCCGCCACGCAACGGGTCTAGCAAGCCGGCGGTGGTGTATTTGACTGCTACTACTCAAGAAATTTTGAATGATTATAGAACAGACTCTTGCGAACATCGGACCAGCAACGTTAAACACGACATTGGGCTACAGCCTGGTAACAGTGAGACAACAAAAGAAGTCGTGGATATGGCCAACTGTTCGTATCGCACCCGCTAGGTACAGTTTTCTTCTGACAGGTCGGCAATCAAAATTATTTGCCAAGGTTAAGGCGTTTATTCAGAAAAATATGTTTCGGAAACCAAATGATTTTAAAAGTCTGTCTTTGACATCAAATATGAATAGTAGATAGACGAGCAAGATAGCAGTACCAGTCTGTAAAGACTGACGGAACAAATTGCATGATGTAGTTTCTTCTTCTGGTAGTTCAAGCTGTGTGTGACGTTGGTAGATATGTTTTGCCATCGCCGCCTGTCTCGTGCAAGGGCTCCTTCGGGTGTTTGATGGGGAGCAAAGGGGGTACTGGCTATCAGAACATATGATTTTGCTATATTAGTGCTAGCAGCAACTTTTGGGGTACTGGCCATGTGGGGTGGCCACGACACCGTCGATTTATTCTGTGACAGATGGTCTTGCAATATTAGTGCTGGCAGCAAGGGGGTACAGTCTGAGACAGATGATCTTGCAATGTAAGCGCTGGCAGCAAGGGGGTACAGACTGTGACAAATGGTCTTGCAATATTAGTGCTAACAGCGAGGGGGTACAGTCTGAGACAGATGATCTTGCAATATTAGTGTTAGCAGCAAGGGGGTACAGTCTGTGACAGATGGTCTTGCAATATTAGTGCTGGCAGCAAGGAGGTACAGTCTGTGACACATGATCGTGCAATATTAGTGCTGGCAGCAAGGGAGTACAGTCTGAGACAGATGGTCTTGCAATGTAAGTGCTAGCAGCAAGAGGGTACAGTCTGTGACACATGATCTTGCAATGTTAGTGCTGGCAGCAAGGGGGTACAGTCTGAGACAGATGGTCTTGCAATGTAAGCGCTAGCAGCAAGGGGGTACAGTCTGTGACAGATGGTCTTGCAATATTAGTACTAGCAGCAAGGGGGTACAGTCTGAGACAGATGATCTTGCAATATTAGTGTTGGCAGCAAGGGGGTACAGTCTGAGACAGATGGTCTTGCAATGTTAGTGCTGGCAGCAAGGGGGTACAGTATGTGACACATGATCTTGCAATATTAGTGCTAGCAGCAAGGGGGTACTGTCTGTGACATATGATCTTGAAATGTTAGTGCTAGCAGCAAGGGGGTACAGTCTGTGACAGATGGTCTTGCAATATTAGTGCTAGCAGCAAGGGGGTACTGTCTGTGACAGATGGTCTTGCAATATTAGTGCTAGCAGCAAGGGGGTACAGTCTTTGACAGATGGTCTTGCAATATAAGTCCTGGCAGCAAGGGGGTACAGTCTGATCATAAACACACAACAAAAGATGTAGAGGGAGGAATAAAAAATATGGATTGAAGAAGTTACTCACAGTCTCAGCATTCATTATATCATTGCCAACCAGGTAGCTGAGGATGCCCTGGTTCGGCTGTCTGAGGAACTTTACAAATCTGAAGCGTACTGCTACAGTAAATGCAGAGTAAACCGTGAGAGGAACTTTTTCAAAACATCATATATATATATATATATATATATAACACAGATTGAAAGCAAACAATCAGCGTACTTACAGTAAATGAGTAAACCGTGAGAGGAACTTTTCAAAACATCAAATATATATATATATATATATATATATATATATATATATATATATATATATATATATATATATATATATATATATAACACAGATTGAAAGCAAACAATCAGCGTACTTACAGTAAATGAGTAAACCGTGAGAGGAACTTTTCATAACATCAAACTCGTTTCAGGGGCATATAACTCTCGAGTGGCCAACCAGAGCAATTGTCTGCGTGAGTCATTAGATAAACACTAGTTTTCCTTGTCTATCCTATAGGCTATAAAAATCACCACGCATTGCTGCACATGTGGACCGATTTCCAATGTCCACGCTTGTCAGTTACTGTAATCTATTTTTAGGCGCGCAACAATTATTAGTCAAACAAAGATTGAATGAAAATAAATTAATCGCCGATTTAAAAAAAAAAACAGCAGCAACTGTGCAATTGTAAATGATTAAAAAAAAAAAAAAAAATAAGAATATGGCAAATCTAAGGCCATGTGCAGAAAGTCGTGTTGATCCATGCAGGAATTGTCGGGATATTTGTGAAACAGTGACGACGCCAGTTCTTAAACGCACTGAAGCTGACGACCAATATGTAGAAAATGATGGAGAAAACATCGTCAGACGGACCAACAGTGTTATGAAGAGCAGTCCAAGGGGATTTTTGATATTGTAACAGTATTGTAATAGCGGGAAATCCAGCAGAACTGACTAAAGTTACAACGTATCGATGTTGTCACCGACTTCAAGCTCCTCGCCGACTGGCGTGGGCGATCATGCTTCTCCACATCTTGTGGTCTTCAACAGTATCTCGCAGTTTCTGTGCTGAAGTGGCATAGTGGTCAAGCAGTTTACCTAGCGCTATGAAAGTCGCTGATTCGGGTCATGAAAGCACCCTTTAATTCCTGAATGCAGTTTAAGCTAATCCATGGAAACTGTTGCTGGAGTGACGGAGTTTGTGCTGTGTGTGACATTCACGACAGGTGTCACGAATACAACCCATGGATCATGCTGATATTATTAATGCCCTTAGAGAAGTGGGAAGGGTGGAGGACTTTCGAGACAGCGATTCCACATCGCTCACCAGAATGAAAGACTCCAGATAACTAACACAACAAAAATTATGTAACCAAGTTTCGGTGAACGAAATTAATGAAGTGTGTGTTGCACGTAAAATATGA